ACTTCCAGTCCCCAGAACACCTCTGAGTATTTCACTATCTTCCAAGATCGACAGGGCTCTTGGTGCCTCGGTACAGTAATTGAATCGCTCAATCACTCCCCTTACTCCCGTAAGGATACAACCCCTCTCAAGAGTCCACACTCTTGAGTGTCTCTCAAGTTTTTAATGAAAGTAGTGAATGGCTCTCTTACAGAGTGAATTCAATGATAAACACTGATGCTCAGTAGTAAAGTGAAAAACAGAGTATTGAATGCGTAACTAAATAATAGCAGATGGTAGCTCCGGTATTCAATTCTCTTCATTAATGCCTCTTCGCGCCTTTTATAGTTGATATCGTTAAATAGCCGTTAGACGGAAGGCTTCTAGCCGTTGTGACTTCGTTTGCGTGTTTCACTGGTTTTAACAGCTCCGCCATTAATGCGTCTGAGTTTCTGACACTGTAGGTCGCAGTCTACGTAATCCCATTGAAGAGCCGTTGCACTCGTTTTCATTAATCTGCATATTTCAAACTTAGAACAAGTGAGAATTTTGTGGTGAGTGCTTTAACCTTGAATACAGAAGGAAGGCTAATTTATCATTCAAGATTTGTGACGAGATCATTTATCAGTAACAAGAACAGAGTGTCATTCCGGTTTGGTTTGATCGAAAAGATGATCGATTACTTGATGATAGATCAAGTTATCGATAAACGGAATGAAGACTTTTCGAAATAGATCACTAAAGTTATCGATCAAGTGTTGGATCATCGGCTCCAAGAATTTTCATAGAAAGAGGAAATCATTGCTTGATCGAACAAGTGATCGATCATATAATTGACCGAACAGATTATCGATAATTTAGATGTTATTAAAATGAAGCTTCAGTCATTGATGATCGAACATCTTATCGATAAATATATGATAGATAATATTATCGATAAAACATGGTTATGTAAATAATCAAAGGAAGACACATGCTATTTGAAATGATCGAACAGCTGATCGATCATTAACTATTCGAACAAGTGATCGATAATAGTGAAGAAAGAAGTTTGATCCTGTAAGGTAAGGAAAATGATTATCGATCACGTTTTGTGAAAACATGAAGTTCGGGGAATTGAATGATCGATCATTTTATCGAAAATCCAGTGATCGATAACTTGATCGAAAATTAGTTCATCATAACTTAATGCTAATATGTCAATTCTCAGACTCTTTATCGAACACGTTATGTGAAAAACTTATTTAAGCAAACAAGTTAAAATTATCGATAATGTTATCGATAATTTAGCTGTAGCAAAACTGAGTAAGAGTTAAAAAGAACATTGATTATCGATCATGTAATCGAAAATTTTGTGATCAATAAAATTATCGATCTATCAGTGAATTTGATCTCCTGCATTCAGAGAGTTAGAGCATAAAGTTCGAGTACGTAATCGATAAACAAATGATCGAAAATATGATCGATAAATTTGTAACTGAACTAATGTGCAGAACAAGTAGAGAGTGTTACCTTTTATCGAAGTCGTTATTGATGACTGATTTATCGATAACTTGATCGATAAATGCACTCGGTTTCTTATCAGTAACTCGATTGCTTACCTGATATTATCGATCAGCTTATCGATAATTTCCATACTCTTATGTGATTTTTACACTAGCGATTATCGATCCCTTTATCGATAAACTATTCATCGAATAGTTCTTCGATCAAAAAGACTACTATAGACCTGATTTACACTTGATCATTTATCTGAAATCTTAGCGATAACTGATTGTTCGATTAGTTGATCGATCAAAATACTTAACCCTGATATTCTGACTTGTTATCATCAAAACTATAATCCTAACACATACCTATTATATCCGCTATTTTTTGCTCAAGCATATGAATACTACTGTAACACACCAAAAAAAAAAAAAAAAGCATTGTGGTCCCATATTTATGACTAAATTCAATTTATAACTAACTCTTATGTTAAGGACTAGAGGTAACATATGGATATCCACGTTCATCTTTTCCTCTTTACAGAATTTCATTTTCTTTTCAAATTTGTGTCATTTATTTATAAAAATAAAATTAATTATTATTACATTATTATTAATTTAATACGGTTTTATCGTTAACTTATTATTTCTTTTAGATGTTTATTTGTTTGAGTCTTATTTTAAATTATATCCATCTTTTTTTGTTACAAATATTGGAATTTCGAAAGGCTCTATTTTGTTCAGGCTAAATTAAAAAAAAATCAGAAAAGGTCTGTAAAAATAGATAAATATGAGAAACTAAATAAGTTAGGGTCTTATAATTATAGTTTTTAGCAAATTTTAAAATAAATTTTGATGGTGAAAGAAAATTGGGATTCACTTTTGTCTTTTTTTTTTTAAAGCTGCTTTTTTACAAAGAGCTAGATTTACGAGAACAAGGAGTAAAATATTTCAAAGCAGAGGAGACACGTTTTATGCTGGTCAATGGATGTAAATAGGTATTATCTTTTCTAAAATATTCTTACTAATCAAGTGTATTGGTTAGAATTATCATTATTGCAAGGACTACTTAAAAACAAGCAACTAGTAAATCATGAACTCTTCTAACAAGCAACTTTTTTCTCAACTCAGTTCCTAACAACCACACTTGAAGCAACTAGTAAATCATGATTGCTGAATTCACAACTACATATATTTTAAGCGTATTCCGAAAATGGGATCTTTTAGCTCATGAAATAATTGTTCTTATTTTTTATATCATTTTCCCATAAATATGAAATTTAATTTAAAAAAATAATGTACCATTTTATTTTTGAAATATTGCTATAACAAACACACAAGAACAATCGAAATAATCTAATTATACTTAATTTAAGGAATATGGCGAATTTATAAAAGCATAAAGCGACATGCCCAATTTTTTCCCCCTAAAAAAAACATTTGGACAAGGTGTTAAAAAATGGTTTTTCAGGGGGCAAATATATGCCGGGCACTATACTAATGGAAGACCTTGACTTATATACGTCTTACAAACATGCAATTATTGTACTAAAGGGAGATTATTACAAAAATTCTTATGGGGCCAACGATGCTCTATTCCTGATCATGAAAATAGTTATTAGTTATTTAATTCCCAAAGTGAAGCATGCATGAATGTATATCACTTAATGGTGGATCTACTTTTCATATTTTCTTCTTCTTTTTATAATGATAGTGGTAACTTTAGATTAGTCTTTCTTTTTTCTTTTGCGGAGGGTAACTTTGATTTTGGTTACTCAATCATCATTATCATATGTAGGCTTTTATTTTATTTTAGTTTTATTTTGAAATTTTTTGAAAAAAGGATATATTTATAATTTTCGTGATTAAATTAATAAGGAGGAAGGACGCGTATACAGGTTAAACGCTTAATTATTGACTTTTGTGAACAATTTTTTTTTTAAAAAGTTGCTTTTGAAAAAGACAGATTTATCCGAACAAGGAGTAAAATATTTCAAAGTTTGTCTTTATGGTCAGCCGATGATGGGGAGAACCAATTACAAGTACTAATTATTTAACACTATTGTAATAGCTAATAACCAATCATTTGTAACATTGAAAACAAGCTTGATAAATTATAAAATACATTATATCGTAATAAATTTGATTTCATAGTTTTTATATATTTACGTCACATTTTTATATGTTATATAGATATTTACGTTCACTTTTCCTCTTTACAAATTTTTTTCTTTTCAAATTTTATGTCATTTATATATAAAAATATTTCAAAGTTTATCTTTATAGAACTACAAGTACTAATTATTTAAGATTATTGTAATAACTAATAAATCCAGTTGAACGATCAACCTCTAATATGTTTAAGAATAAAAAAAGGAGACAGAGAACATTTTGACATAGGCAAAAGAATTTTTTCCCCCATAGCAACTACATTGAAGTTTAATGCAATGACGACAGTACAGCACGCCATAGAAGCTGTGGAGATCTCAACAGCTGAAAGACACGTGTCGTTCTTTCTCATTGTTCCTTCTTATCCATCCTTTGTTCATCTGCTGCTCTGTTTCTAGCAGATCCCTTCAACTCCACGTTGCTCAATCTATTTTTCTCTTTTTCAATTAAAAGCCAACGATTTTAATCACCTAACACGTGAAGGTAGGATTTGAAGTCATACAATCGAGACAAACTAGTGATTTCTCTTTTAAAGCTTTGGCTTTCTCTTTTTGAAAGGTAGGAGAATGCACAGATATTCATTTTTTTTTAAAGCTTTGGCTTTCTCTTTTTGCCACTCGTTTCATTGTAATTTTAGTTTACAGAAACAGACAAACTAGTGAATTCCAGACCACAAAACAAAGATCAATTATTGAGATCAACAACAATTAATGGACAAACCCAGTAATTTTGCTTTCAGATGCTTTCTGGTGCGTTGTAAACAAAGATAGCCATTGTTGTTTTGGAAACATGCATGGAATATTATGTCTCAGTGCCTTCTATTAGACACAAACCTTGTAGGCTTATCAAATATACGTCAATTCTTATATGCACAGACTCTGTTTATAAAGAATTTTTGTTAACCAAACTAATTACAATTATTATTTAATATCATTATGCATAATTATGTAAGTATATTTTGATGCCGATTTCAATGAAGCTTGAATTCGACATACTTTTCATAAAAATAATACTCTTTCGATTATAAATATAAGATATATTTTGTAGTACAAATTATATCATAAAATGAGTCTTATATTTAAAGCCGGAGTAACGTCAAATATTGAAAAAGGAAAAGGTAAACGGCTGAATGTTAGGATAGTACACTGTTTTAAATGTTAAGCCATTAAAAGAGAGCAAAAACTCAATTTGAATTCCTTCCAATCGTGTTATTCGTGGGAGACCTTGACTTATAGTGTACGTCTGTTGTAGACACGCAATTATTGTTCACATCATAAGGAAGACCTTGAGTTATAAATAAGGAGGCCAGGGTTGTTCATCTCATGTACTTGTTTGAGTTTCATGTTGCATGAGCTAGCTGCAATAATGATGAGCGTGAGTTATCTAAACCTTGTGAAACTGCCTCAACCAATCATCATACTCATGATGCTGCACTTGCAGGCTGAGTTGTTCATGATAGGGTCATGTTGGAGAATGGGAGATGCCAACGCTAGTTGCCTGCACAAGGAAAGACGAGCTCTTCTCGGCATGAAGAATGCCTTTGTGGACGATTATGGTCGTCTGTCTTCATGGGGCTCTTCTCCAGATTGTTGCCGCTGGAGTGGTGTTCTCTGTAATCCTCACAGTGGCCATGTTGAGATGCTCGATCTTTATGGTGATTATGACTCCTGGCGGCCTTTAAGAGGTGAGATTAGCCCATCATTGATGGACTTGCAAAACTTAAACTATTTGAATCTCAGTTCCAATGATTTCAATCAGAGTCAAATCCCGAAATTTTTTGGTTCTCTCACCAAATTACGATACCTTGATCTATCTAGTTCTTTTTTTGGTGAAAAAATACCAATCGAACTTTGCAAGCTTGCAAACTTGTTGGTTCTAGATATTTCCTTCAATGATTTAGTTGGTAGTATGCCTTTCCATCTTGCCAACCTTTCAAGTCTGCAAGAGCTCCGTCTAGATTGGAATCATTTAGTGGGCAATATTCCTAGCCGACTTGGTAATCTGTCAAGCTTGGAGATACTCCAGATTGGCTACAATGATGGTTTGAAAATTGATGACAAGAGCTTGGATGCCATTGAGTGGCTTTCCAATCTTCGGTCGTTAACTTCGCTTGATTTAAGCTATGTTTCTAATCTTAATTACTCTGACAACTTGTTGCCAATTATTGGGAAGCTTCCAAACCTGAGAGAGCTACGGCTTGCAAATTGTAGCTTGACAGACAATAATATTCTATTAACTCCTCCATCTCATTTGAATTTTTCTAGATCTCTCTTAACTCTTGATCTTGGTGAAAACAAGCTGACATCATCAGTATTCCCTTGGCTGTTCAATCTAAGCTCTAATCTTGCATACCTTTCTTTGTCCAACAATCACTTGGGTGGTCCCATTCCGGTTGATTTGGGAAAAAACATGAACTCTTTAGTGACTCTTGACCTTTCCTATAATGACCTAAATGGAACAATCAGTGACATCCATTTTGATAATCTCACCGAGTTAGAAGATTTGTACTTATCTGATAATTTGTTGACTCTCAAATTCAGCAACGACTGGATTCCTCCGTTTCAGTTACAACACTTATGGTTAGAGCACTGCAAGTTGGGCCCTGGATTTCCTAGATGGCTTCGCACTCAAAATAATTTACAAAGTGTAAGTTTTTCTCATGCTGAAATCAACGATTCTATACCAGAGTGGTTTTGGAGACTTATAGAGGGAGCACATTCACTTCGTATAGAGTCAAGCAATCTCACAGGTGTAATTCCAGATTTGCCACTTGAATTTAATTTTTATCACATATCTTTGGCTTCCAATCAAATTAGAGGCTTTATTCCACCGTTCCTACTAAAGAGCCAATTTTTATACATTTCAGAAAATCTAATTTCAAAATTTGTTCTTCCACCAAGTGGCAAGGGTAAAAGTGCAATTGTTGAAAATTTGGTTTATTTAAATCTCTCAAATAATAATTTATTAGGGGAACTTCCTGATTGTTGGGATCATTTCAAATCTTTAAGGATTCTTGATTTATCCAATAACCAACTTTTAGGAAGGATTCCTGACTCTATGGGGTCCTTAAGTCAACTTCAGCAGTTAGTTTTGCGAAACAATTGCTTCAATGGTGGACTGCCTTCGCTCAAAAATGCAACTGAATTGGCCATGTTAGATTTGGAAAAAAATGACTTGTCAGGACCAATACCACCTTCCTGGACAAGTGACAATCTAAAAGAGTTGGAAACTCTTAGTCTACGTATGAATAAATTAGATGGAAAGTTGCCCTTGCATCTATGTTATTTACCCAAGGCCAGGGTTTTGGATCTCTCTGTTAACAAGTTTATAGGACCAATACCAAGTTGCCTTGACAAGCTGGTTGCAATGTCTCAGAAATATGTTATAAATGATTCTGATTATAATATCAACCTCATTCAGAACGGAACAGTTCGAGAAAGTGGAATTTTTTATTGGAAGTTGCCTATGGTGTGGAAAGGAAGAGAATTGGTGTATGAAGACCATTATGGGCTTGTGAACATTGATTTCTCTAACAATCAATTGGAGGGGGAAATGCCAATAGGAATTGTAAAATTGGCCGAGTTGAGATTTCTGAATCTATCATCAAATAAGTTGAGTGGAAAAATCATTTCAGAAATAGGACAACTAAAATCGCTAGAAACTCTGGATCTCTCAAGAAATCATTTTGATGGAGAAATTCCTTCGAGCCTTGCTGAAATATCTTCGCTAAACACTTTGGATTTATCAAACAACAACTTGACAGGACAAATTCCCATAGGAACGCAATTGCAATCTTTTGAGCCCTCCCGCTATGAAGGAAACCCTTACCTCTGCGGGAGACCGTTGGACAAGCTCTGTCCTTCTGAAGATCATCCATTTGGGAATGAGACGCAAGCTAACCAACCTGCTCATGAAGATGACACTTTCATGAAAGGATTCTATGAAAGCTTGGGTGTGGGATTTGCTGTTGGATTTTGGATAGTATTTGGCTCATTGTTAGCTATTCGATCATGGAGGCATGCCTCCTTCAATTTGGTAGGCAAGGTGTCAAACTATATATATGTGGCAACAATGCTTCTTGTGGCGAGGTGGCGCAGGTGGCTCCCCAACTAAAAGGTAATATTTTCTTAATTACTATCAACAAAAGATTTACATTACTTTTGTGTTTCTTTCTCAATGATATATCAGTTGTAAGATTTAACTATTTTGTTACTGATTGTCATCATATCAGCTGGAGCTTGTCAGCATGGGGTTTATCTGCAACAGCTCACATACAACTCTTGTTTGTCGGATTCTGCCACCTGTGACATACATTAGTGGATGCAATATTATCTATGACATAATAGTCTATGCGAGTGGACATTGGTGTGTAGAAACTAATAGGCGAGAAGAATAATTTTATTGTAATCTTTACTGATGAATCTGTTGTTAGTTTATGGTGTTATGAATTTCATTATCATACTACCAGTATTTAAAAATTATATTAGATTGTGACGGATTCATGAGGAACCATGAGCAGAAAAAAAAGGTGGAATCTTAAGAATGCCAGGTTGGAGTTGAAGCACAGGCTTGTTACTTTGCTGGTGTATGAATACGAGTTTCACATGGCCTTCTCGTCGTTATTTATATCATCATCAATAACACCATAATAACTCTTCTCGTCGTTTGGAGGCATCGTGTATGGTTTTTCTGCACAGAAATATATATATATATATATATATATGATTTTTCAAACGATGCCATTATATAGCATACTGCGCCTGATACAAGATTTTATAGTAGTTCATTAAAAAGTGTGGAATTGACATAAATGAAGGACAAAAAAAGTTGATTTTTTTCTGAAAGAGTATGCGAGATACTATCTCCGGTCCTAATTATAAGATCTCATTTGTAATCTACAAATAAGGTCTTATAATTAGGATCGAAAGTAATAGAGATTATGCTCTTGAGAAAGCTCCTCTGTTAGAGATTTTATTGACAAGAAAGCCTGATAAATATTTATGCACACAAAGTATCAATACTCTATAAATTTTGTGCACATAGAATACTTGTATTCTGATTTAAGTCATACTACTACTACTAATAAAATTTTGAATGAGAACTTTTCTCCGATCTTTCCTATTTATTTTCAGACCACGTCTACCTTAATTAGGTTGAGCAAATCAACATTTGATTGAATTATAAGATGAGTTTAAGAAAATTAATGATCCTTCGTTATTTAAGTTTGGGACGTATTCATGATTTCATGTTAATTAATAAGAGATTTTATAAAAATGGAAAACTTACTATTTTTAAACGTATTTTGGGATTATAAGATGAGTAAGAGCCAATTAAATATCTGCAGTTCATATAATGGATATATAAATCAAAAAAATGCAAAATCACAAGATTAAAATTTTTATTAAGTTGTGTCCGCTGAATTCTCAAGCAAGCATAAATTTAGCAACTAAAAGCTATATGAATTATCCATTGGCCAAAAAAAAAAAAGCTATATAAATCATCCAGAGCACACATTTCATGGAGAATGCAGTGGGTTTGGGTGAGTCCATGGTTTGCCTTTTTCCACATTTAAGGAACCACACGTTAACAAATGTCCAAGACACAACCGAGTTTTTTCATCGTAAAACATCAAGAACATATTCTTGCAAACAACTTATTTTACTGCATAATCACCAGACACAACCAAGTTGATTTCACCTTCTGACACACCTAAGGATCCACCAAGCAAAACTCAAACTTCAGAACACAGTGTTTGTATCAGACACTTATTGTTTCTGTTTATTCTTGGCACAAGTTTTGTATTCTTCATGTGGTTCTTTAGTCCCATTGACTTTTCTTTCTGAAGTCAACAACAAAATCGTAGATCTCCTTCTCAGCAGCAAGACATTTGGAAACACTTTGCCTCTGGATGCATCTATGAGCCAAGGAAATGAGCTTAGGACAATGTGTTTCCACCTGGAAGTTGCATAATGCCTTGTAAGTGTAAAACCAGGGATAGAATGGAACCAGAGCAATGTCGACAAACCCAAAGGTTTCACCTCCAAAGAAAGATTTGTCTCCAAGTCTCTCTTCCAATCGCTTCAAGTTCTGTATTATCTCCTTCTTTGCCTCTTCGTGTTCTTCTTTCTTTCCTGCCCATATCCTTCCTCCAACATCTCCCACCTGCATTTAATGACCGTGATTAAAAGGGAGAGACGGAGATTGAGAAGTGCTGAAAAATTAGGAAATTACCTTCTTGTTGACAAAATCAGCCCAGAATCTGGCTTGAGCTCATAAGGATCAGAGGGAAGTAAAGGAGCTGTTTCTTTCCAAACTTCATCGATGTATTGCAATTCACAAATGGGTTTGCCTTTGTGAATAAGAACTGGAATCTTCTTGTGATTTGGGTTCATTTGCAGAAGCAGAGAGCTCTCTTGTCGCTCAGATCTTCTTCCCTGTACTCGCATTTGATTCCCCTCTCAGCCAACGCTATTCTGGCTCTCGACCCAAACATGCTCAGCCACTCGTCCAATAACACTACCTCTTGTTCCGCCATTGCTCAACTCTGATGAATCTGTCACTTTCTGCAGAACAGAACGAGTACGAGGAAGAAATTATCGGCGATAGATCTCAACAGCCATTCGTTCTCTTTTTCCTTCTTATTTATTCTATGTTCATCTGCTGCTCTGTTTCTGGCAGATCCCTTCGACTCCCCGGCGCTCATTCTATATCTCTCTTTTTTCAATCAAGAGTCAAAGATTTTGATCACCTAACACGTGCATATAGGATTTTGAGCTATGAGTTTGTTTATTATATGCAATTAATGTGTGGATGAAATTTTCTGGTTTTCAAGAGTTTGACAGAAAATACTTACCTCGTAATGTAGTAGTATGAGAGCTTTTTGTAAGCGAAAAATTGCCCGTTCGATCTCCCTTGTAGATTCAAACAGTTAGTGCTTACCATTTTAAATAGGGGGGGAAAATGATAACAAGCACAGGAAAATAAAAAGTGAATTAACAAGGCTCACCCTGAGACTGATTGGGTTTGGATTTTTCTAAGGATCCAATCTTATTGGGCCAGTTTTACCAGTCTCTACGAGTTCGATTTGGGTCAGTGTCTTCTGGTAGACCCACCCAAACTACATAGGATTTGCTGTGCAGCTTTTCTTTTTCCCCTCTCTAAAGCTGTGCAGCTTATTAAACGTCAATTCTTACATGAACAGACTTCAATTTATGAAGCCTAAAGAATTCTAGGAAAAAAGACCAAAAAAAGAGTGAATATTGTTAAATTCTAATTCAGATTCTTAACACTTCAAAATCCCAAGAAAGAAAGTGGTGCTTGATCTGGTATTTTGTAAATATAGTTAAATGATTAAAAATTCCTTATTTTAAACTTGTTACTATCAGTAAATTTCTTATCATTTGCTATTTAACACGTGTCATTATCAGTTTACAAGTTATTAATAAATTTTTGAAAAAAAAAATATTTTAGTCATTTAACTATATTTACAAAATACCATATCAGATACTTTTTTTTTTGGATTTCACAATTTTCATTTTTTTTTGGTCATTTTCCCAGAATTCTATGTGAACCAAACAAGTTACAATTGTTATTTCATACCATTACGCATATAATTATGTAAAAAATTTTACCCCGATTTTAGTGAAGCTTGAATTCGACACACTTTTCATGAGCATCAAATGCGGAATATTTTTAAAATACAATTTTTTTCCAAATACTAATATTTTTTGCTTTCATTTTTATTACACCTGTTAGTATAATATTATTTTTAAATATATTGGACGAAATATTTTTTATTTTTTTCAATAATCTCCTCAATAATATAATCCTAAATGTATATGAAACGAGTAAAACATATTCATGGTTTTCAGTGGCTCAAAAAGATCTAAGCACTAAAAAAAAAAATTCATTTTTTGTGGTATCATTTTTTATGATTATTTAAATAAGAATCGTAGCAGCAGCAGCAGTGTTGTGATATTGATGATGATGAGGGAGAAGGAGGAGGACTCGAGGAGGAGGAGAGGTTTTTCCCCCTCTTAAAAAAGGCAAAAATAGATATCAAATGCAGAAATTGTTGGATATGCATGCAGATCCAACTTATCAAGTATTTGTCGATTTTTTCCCCCAACTCGTAGACTAAATTAGTCAACCAACGAATCTGATGTCAATATATTCAAGTTATATTATTTACAAATTATAAATTGTGTAATTTATTTCTAAAACTTAAAAAGAACTATTAGTATAATTACATATAATTATCTAACTTTCTGCCGCAATTTCACATTCAACTTTATATGTTGAGTTTGACTACTTTCAATATGAAGCTATTGTTCAAAGTGCTTGTGCATCGGCGAAAAAGAAGAGTGAGTACCGGCATCAAAGAAAATCATTAGAGAAATCAATGTTTATTATTAGGCATAAGCGCTAAAACTCAGCAGCAAATTATAAACTTTGATTCATATTTGGCTTCGTATACCATAACAGAATCCATACTGCTCATTTATTATTAGGATTTTTTAGTGATTACAAGCTTGTTTGGTTTCTTGTTTTGAAAACAATTTTTTGTTTTTAAAAATAGAAAAACAAAAAACTTGTTTAGCAATTTGTTTTTAGTTGATTGTTTTAAAAAAAAAACAATAATATGTTTTTAAAAGCTGAAAAACCAAAACAACTTTCACATGTTTTTTCGTTTTTGTTTTTGTGTTTTTATTTTTTTTGTTTTAAAAAATTGGAGAAATATTCTTTTCTTTTCCTCTACTATCTACTATTTATCACTACTGGTAATAACTACTACTTGTCAAAGTGTAATTTTTTATTTTTTTTCAAATTTAATTTTTTTAAAAATTATTTTCCAAACAATTTTTTTTGTTTTCTGTTTCCAAAACTTTTTCTTAAAAACAATTTTATAAAATTGTTTTGAGAATAAGAAAATAAAGAATAAAAACAAACAGGCCCTATATTTTTTACTTAGAATGCCACAGTAATTTCCTCTTCAAAAAATCTTGGAGCTAAATATTTCCAAGTTTGGGCCTAGAGGGCACAAAACATGAAAATAAGTGGGCTGAAAACACAGAAATTGTGTGTGTGTGTGTGTGTGTGTTTAAAACAATTAA